GTAGGATTTTATCGACGAGACGGTGTCGTTAAAGTATGGCGATTCGCCGATGATCATGTTGATTTTACGGCGGTTAGCGTCGTTACCCTTCTCGTCTGTTTTTCTTCCGCGTTTTTCGCCCGACTGATTTCCCTGAGGCGGGGTTTGCGCGTTTTTGTCATTCTTCGGGACGCGGTCCGAATCGCGGATGAGATCCTTGTCATTCTCCCGCTACTAACTTTGCGGCCAGCCTGGCGCCGATAACTTTGCAGTTTACGGTGGAATGGCCATGGGTTTGGTGGAGGTCGCAGAAAGAATTCTCGTCGTAATTCGAATTTCTCGTCCACGTGTTACCCGTAGTTCGCCCTTGCTCCGAACCGGAGTTGATAGAGTAGTTATGCGCCCCTCGGAGATCCTGTCCCTCGTGATGGACGAATTTGTCGTTACGAGAGCTCTTCTTTTTCTGCTTCTGCTCGGACGCGTTTTCCCTTGCGGATGTTTTCGTCGGCTTATGCTTCTCGGACAAGACTTTAGTTTCCTCCTCGATAGTTATGAAGTCGGTGGCCTTATGGAGCGCATCCTGGATCGTCCGCGGTTTCTCGAGAGTTATCCATCTGCGGAACTCCGATTTATACCAGAGCGATTTTCTTAACGCGTCGATGGCGGCTTTGTCGCTGGTCCCGCTAACCCTAGCCATGACGAGTTTGAATCTACTCATGTAATCGCGGAGAGATTCGTCTTCCTCGTGCACCAAGCTCCAGAGATCGGCGCCGGAGGTCTCCGGGTTGATGAACATCGAGTACTGTTTCAGGAACTCCGAAGCCAGTCGACGGAAACTTCGGATCGAATTTCGCCTAAGTTTGGCGAACCATTCGAGCGCGGCTCCTTCTAGGTTTTCGACGAAGAGGCGGCAGTAACCTGCGTCTTTCTCGTGGTCCTTGAGCTTGGCTCGTCCCATGGTGATCTGGAACGCTTGCAGGTGCGCTTTGGGATCGGTCGTCCCGTCATAAGTTGGCACCTTAAGCTTTCCGGGATCGGGCNTTGAGCTTGGCTCGTCCCATGGTGATCTGGAACGCTTGCAGGTGCGCTTTGGGATCGGTCGTCCCGTCATAAGTTGGCACCTTAAGCTTTCCGGGATCGGGCAGTTTGATCTCGGTGATGCGAGCCGTGAAAGGCGTTTTCCGAGATTCGTACAGCAGCCGATCGATCTCGGGTGCGGCGCTGGTCGCGTGGTGAATCTGAGATTTCACCGCTTTTACCGCTGCGGCCGTTTTGGTAATGTATTCGCGGAGATCGCGAATATCGGTCTGATTGCCAGCAGTTTTCCGACCCTGTCGGCGTTTGCTGCGAGTGACCGGAGATCGCTCCTCGGCGGTTTTTGCGTATCGCGCGAAGTCGAGTTCTCCTTCGTCTCCAGTAAAGGAACGTTCGGGAGACGACTCCGGTTGAGGACTGCGAGTTTTCCTTCTCCTAGGATGGACGTCGGCGTCTTCGTCTGTCGAATCGGCCTGGTCGCTTGTTTCCAGGTTGACCCGTTCGATGCCGTCGCCTTCGGTCTCCTGTTCGCGAGTAGGAGATTTTTCCGATTCGTTCAGCGTCGTGTCAGGGTTTTCTTTTACGGAATCCTTTTCCGGTACGTTTCCCTGATCGATTATGGGACGATACGTAGGAGCGCCGAAATCGAGTCTCCTTCCGCGGATTTAGGTAGTTCCGCGGGGGCGAATTGCTTTGGTTCTCGCAGTTAGGGTTTCGAGCCGTTTTGCGAGTGAACCAATGAGCTTTTCCTGCTCTTCCGATTTTTTGTTAAACTCGGAAAGCATCTTTTCGACGGTCTCGGCGTTAGCGTTTGTAGCGTTGGCCGCAGGCGCGTCTTTTGGTAGTGGTGTTTCAACGTTGTCGTGTTCGTCGTGAGCTTGGTTGTCACCAGCCATCGTTTCTTCGTTGGTCATGTTGCGGTTACGGTGTAAGATAGATCCGACCCCCCCTCCTTCTAGCGCCAAACTGTGGGAGTCGATTTCACCCTACTGTCAAATAAATCGTAAAAAAGGGAACTTCGGGAAAACCCTAAGTTTCCAGAGGAACCGGCTATCTGCGAGAACCGCACAACGAAAATAAGAAAACGATAACTTAGAATTAAAATGAAAATAAACGAAAATAGAGAGCAAAGAGGTTCTTATTCCGAATCTGTGTTGAACTGGTACAAAAAGAATAGCCGAAAGCGTAAGAACTAGAAAACCCTAATTGAGACGCAGCTCGCTAACAGAAAAACGGAAATATTCCTAAATGCTAGTTTTGGTGGTGAGAGCTCTGAATTTCGTGTGTGTGCTTCTTCCCTAGACCTCCTCTTTATATACTCCTCGTCTTGGCTATCCGATCTTTCCATTTCGCCCAGATTTGACTTAAATTGGGAATTTTCCATTCTTCTCGATCCTTCCTTTTCTTCTGCGGAAATTTCTATTTCTCTTCAAACCTTCCTTTTATGTTCAAACTTGACTTTTATTTGCTTTCTGCGAGTAAACCGTCAAAACGTTATCAAATCCGCGGGTTAGATTCCGTAAAAATCGCAAGATGGGTTTTTATTGCGTTTTAGGTCCTTCCGGGCCGTTTTGCGATAAAAACCGTTTTCCGACTTTTTACGGGATCATTTCCTGATCTGACGTCGTTTTAATAAATTTCTCGAGTTAATCGCAAAGTTTTACGATTTACTCGACTTTTTATTAAAAACACGTTTTTTATGACTTACTCGGCGTTTTTTATTAAAAGCGCGTTTTTTATGATTTCGTCGAGAAATCTCGAATAAACCGTATAGTTTAGGCAATGTTTGGTGTTTCGTTTAACCGTTGCCGTTTTATACGATTTCCTCGAGCTCTTTCCGAGAAAACGAAGTTTTACGGTTTTTATCGTAAAACTCGAACGGTAAGTCGGATCGAGATGGAACGAGAGATATTTCGGCCGTGGTTCAGAACACGACCTTGTCGTAAGTTTCGAATCGGGAATGCGGGAAATCTAGACGCGGAGTGTCCGGGAAGTTTTTTTAGTTCGCCCATCGGCGTACTAAGCCGGGCCCGACTTAGTACGCCGATGGGCGAACTAGTCATGCATGTTTTAGATCGCCCATCGACGTACTAAGCCGGGCCCGGCTTAGTACGCCGATGGGTGAACTAAAGAGTGACTCTTAGATCGCCCATCGGCGATCTAAGCCGGGCCCGGCTTAGATCGCCGATGGGCGATCTAGAGAGTGTTTCATAGATCGCACATCGGCGATTTAAGCCGGGTCCGGCTTAGATCGCCGATGGGCGAACTAGTTGCGACTAGTTCACGTTTTACGGCTTTTTCGGTTTTTTGCGGTTTTGTAAAACGATTCTCGAGTTTTATAAAACGATCTTCGGATTTCATAAAACGACTTTTGAGTTTTATAAAAACGATCTTCGAGTTTTATAAAACGATTCTCGAGTTTTATAAAACGGTTTCTCGAGTTTTATAAAACGGTTTCTCGAGTTTTATAAAGCGATTTCTCGAGTCTTATAAAACGATNTCGAGTTTTATAAAACGATTCTCGAGTTTTATAAAACGATTCTCGAGTTTTATAAAACGATTCTCGAGCTTTATAAAACGATTTCTCGAGTTTTATAAAACGATTCTCGAGCTTTATAAAACGATTTCTCGAGTTTTATAAAACGATTCTCGAGCTTTATAAAACGATTTCTCGAGTTTTATAAAACGATTCTCGAGCTCTATAAAACGATTTCTCGAGCTTTATAAAACGATTTCTCGAGTTTTATAAAACGATTTTTCCAGTTTTATAAAACGATTCTCGAGCTTTATAAAACTGTTCTTTTTGTATTCTTGCGGAAAGTTTTGGCTATTAATTCCGTCGTACCGATTTTGACCCCAACATATGTAATATATTTAAAATTAGAATCCTAGAATTTTTTATCTATTTATTTTGGTTAAATGTATTCAATCAACTTGTATAAAATTACTAAGAAAATTCATATAAAAATTGTATAGTTATTAAAATTTTATAACTAAACAATAATTATAAAATTTGTAAATGTCTAAAAGAAACTAATGATATTACGATTATAAATTTATTAATTTTTTAAGAAGATGTAGAAAATTTCAAAATATTAGTAATAAAATTGTATAATTATAAAATTAAAATTAAATAATATTTGAAAATTTATAATGCATATTTTAATATATTTATTTTTAGTGATGATTTGATTTATGAGCTATTACCATATTTTAAGACGTTTACTAAAAATATAAATTAACATTAAATGTAATGTATCAGTTATTGCTATATTATATAAAGTTTACTAAAAATATATATCAACAATAAATGTAATTTTCCATGTCATATTTAAGTATAAACCATGTCATCAATCTTATTAGTCATGTCATCATTTTTTTTTGTAAAAAAATGATTGTAAAGAAGACATGTGGCAAATCACTTTGCAAATAATATATAGGGGATTATAAACTCGACAAAACTAATCAAACTAGAAAAATGAATTTTATGGTTTCCTAAAAAATCCTTAACTGATCAGTGGATAGAGCAGAATAAAGTAGAAATTGAAAAGCAGCTAAAGTATTTAAACATCTGTGGGTTGGGATATATATATAGAACGAGTTTAGTTATGGACCACTTTTCATTGTATACAAACCAAAACACCTCTGTTTCACTTACATATAAGTAGAACAAGACACCAGAAAGTTTAGTTACGGACCACTTTTCATTGTATACAAACCAAAACACCTCTGTTTCACTTACATATAAGCAGAACAAGACACCAGAAAGTTCAACCTTACGGAAAGAAAATAATAACATCTTCAACGAGGATCTAAATCTGTGATCGATACATCATTGATAGAACAAGTAATAGGCTTTCCAAATGCATTTGAGCCCCTAGCTTCTGAATTTTGATCCTGGCTACTTTTTAAGAAAAAACCAGGTGGACGAGGCACTTGTAAAGTGATTGTGGTACTCGTAAGCAACGAGATGATTGTAGACATCATAGGACGGTCTTCAGGATTTTCTTGGACACATAAAAGCGCTACATGAATGTATCTTGTAACTTCATTGCTATGATAACTCTCGCCTAAATCTGGGTCTAATATTTTTAAAGCCGAACCTTTTCTCCAAAGTCTCCAAACCTAACATAATTATATGATTTATAAACACTGTCCCATAATATTTGATCATAGTAATAAAAGAGATAAAATAAACTACTAACATGTGTGACTAAATTGCCAGCAGATCCATCTGTTTGGTTGAAGCTACTATTCTTCTTGCCGCTTATTATTTCAAGTACCAGGACTCCAAAGCTGTACACATCAGATTTCATGGAGAATTGACCGTGCATTGCATACTCAGGAGCCATGTAGCCGCTGAAAAAATAAGCCAAGTTGCATGAGTGACGATCAAAAGGTGTCATTAGTGAATTTGTATGATTAGACCAGAGTTGAAGTAGTTTATGAAGTACGAGATAAACTGGAACAGGTTGGAGTATTCTTTAAGATGTGGACATTATAAGAAGATTTACCATGGAACTGCTTAGGGGAAGTATTGGAAAACAAATAATCGACCATACACAATAAGGGAGATTGAATTATTCATTGAAGATCACAAAAGAAAAGTGTATAGTTTGTACATATTTAAGTCTAACTTTTCTCTAAGTATAAAGAGGGTATTGATACACATAGAGAATATTTACGAGAGAGTTTTGGCGAGCCATTGTAAAGTGAAGCAAAACACTACAGTTAGGAGTGTGAGTGGTTCAAGAGACTTAGAACATGTCTTTAAACACGAGTGACTAGATCAACAAGTCGAGGTTTGTTTTCAGTTTGGTGAAGAATTGCTTTTGATTGAAACTCGTAAGTGCATTTAAAAGAATTAATCTAGTTGTATTTCTTGGACGATTAATTTTCCCATGTGTTATAGTGTGTTCTAGTTTCTATAGTTAACAAATCTCACATTTACAATTGGTATTAGAGCATGTATTTGTGTTTTCTAAACATTTAAGTATGATGCGGAAAAATTTGAGAGCTATCAAGAGATGGTTTCAAATGCAAAAGTGGAATTGGATATTGGGAACTAGAGGATTTGGAAATTCTGGATGAAGGCTAAAGTCAAGGTTATTGATCCACTTGCATGGAACATGATGAAATATGGATAAAAATTGTAAGTACCTAGAGGTGAAGATGAAAAAAATGTACCAAAGTCAGAGGAGCTCGTGATAGATGATGAGAACAAGATGGTAAAGTTTTATTCAATAATTGTAGTGTTACATGCAAGCAGTTGAACTGATTCGGATGTGAGGCGGTAAAACATGCATGGGATATTCTGCATCGACATTTTGAAGGAATGCTGAAAGTTCAAAGCTCTAAAAGGACATGATGGCAACCAGATTTTAAGAATTAAAAATGTAAAAGCATGAATCAGTTGGGGATTTCAATTCGAAGCTTAGCTCATGGGCACAAGAAGCTCTCACCCTTGGAAAAAAGTACAAAGAGAAGGATCTAGTGAAGAAATACATATGCTTACCATCCAAATTCTCGGTTAAAAAAAGAAATAATAAGTGTATCTGTAAACCATGTTGAAAAGAGTTTTTATGAAGTAGTTGGAATGCTTCAAGCTCATGAGATATAAATGACAGATGAAAAGAAAATGAAAGGAGTAGAATTCGCCTCAGTGAAGAAAGAAGACAGAGGGGACATTGATCAGTTAGTCTGTTAGTATGTCGATTCAACAGAGCACTTCAAAAAGTAAACCATGGGTAACCTAAAAAAAGATTCAACTCTTGAAAAAGATCTTTAGATGCTGAGAAAACTTCAAAGAACTTAGATGTAAAGTGCTTGAAATGCGAAGGGTATGATCACTTTAGAACTGAGTGTCATATTGTTAAAAGGAAAAGAGAGAGAGATCCAGTGTCAAAGTTGCAAAGCTTATTGATACATTAAGGTGGAGTATGAGAATGATCTGAAAAAGAAGAAGAAGTCAATGCTGGACATTAGTAAAGATGATTCAGAAAGTGATAGGGAAAAAGTAGAATTCCAACAACTTTCTAGCATTCGATATTCTGAAATAGACGATAAACCAGAACAAATATTGAATGAGAGTTACAAAGAAGGTAATTTGGCATTAATGCGACAAGAACTTCAGAGAGAAGCGTAATTCGCAAAAGAAAGAGAAGCTAGTTCTGATCAAAAGAGAGGATAACTCAAGGAGGAGATGAGCTGGAGAAGCAAGTGTCCAACAACCTTTGAACAGAACTCGATCAACAATACAAGAAGATCAAGATTCTCACTAAAACTAAAAAAGTCAAGAAGATTCTTATTTATGGTCGAATTGGGAAGTATCACATTGGGACCACTGAATCTAGAATCCAATATTCAAGAAACTCGAATGAGAATCTTGTTGGTTATTATGATGAAAATTGCCAGGTTGTTCAGCTAACAAAAATAGTACTAGTGGGGATGTTTCTTTCTAGGGAACAATTTCATATTGTGGCCAAGTAAAAAACAAAATTATTTATCACTTTCTACTTTAGAGGCTGAATACATTGCGATGGGTAGCTGTTGTACACAACTTCTTTGGATGAAGAAGATGTTAGCTGATTATGGAATGCACTATGGATCTTTCCTCGTACATTGTGACAACAAAAATACTATTGACATTTCAAAGAATCCAGTCCAACATTGAAGGACATAGCACATCGACATCAGACACCATTTTATAAGAGAATTTGTTGAAGAAAATTAAACATGTAGTAATCGATTATCTCATTAGAGATTCACAATCGGCTAACCTGTTTACTTAACCTCTGAGTTTTAACCGTTTTATCACTTTACGAAATGTCATTCATGTGTGTAATCTTTATTTTTGATTTATGTTGTGCATGGAGAGATGTGTGTTTAATCTTTATTTTTTATTTGTGTTGTGCATAGAGTGATGTAGGTGCTAGTTCAAGAAGTATATACGATTCAAATTGTGTCTGGAACTTGAGAACATTGTGAGAAGAGCTGTTTTTGGTGGTGGGTGGTCAATTTTTAAAGGTACAAGTTTCACATGTATTAATGTAAAAACCACCAAAAGCTTATTACATGAAGAAAGTACTCAAGAGAGAAAAAAGGTAAACACAACAAAAAGATAGAAAAAACTGGAGCCTTGAGGTTACACATTGATGCAGAATTAAAGGTTATAAAACCTTAGCATGCTTCAGATTGGAGTCCTGACTGAATAAGTACCACATGAAAAATCTGATTCAAGTCGACCTCAACTTGTCAATGTAAGTGATGAACAAACTCCTCCGAGGAAAAATCCACCGGCCTTGTCTAATTACCCTAGGATAACTAGGGATGACGACTCCTTACTACTGCCCAAAAAATATTTTCCCGAGAGAAGTAAAGATAACTATACAACTGATTTTCGCATCGAGGATCCAAAGATGGCAATGATTCTCTATGAAGCACCAACTGAACCATAAATTTTTCAATTCAAATCATCGGATTCTCCCTCGGTGTGAGAAACATTTGGCTCTGAGGAGATACATGATGAAACTCTAAAAACTCAAAAAACTAGAGAAGAAGACTCGAAAAAGACCCGAATGAGCTGAAGCCGAATCTGAAGAAAACAAAAAGGAAGAGGAATAAGTCGTTTCTGCAGAAATGGTCTCACTTGGCTCGTCATCTGATGAGGTACCTCTGAAAGAGATTCAGAAGAAGAGGGTCGTGAAGAAGTTAGGATTACCACCTTCCAAACGAGCAAAAGAAAAGGCTCAACCATTCCCATTATGTTGAACTTTCTCAAACATGATGATGCGGCTCAGTCCGCATACATCAAGCGAGAAACCTCTGTATACATTTAAATGTCTCTGGTCTTGCAAGTTATATAGGTTGAGTTTTATGCATGTCATCCTGCTACGAAACTTGAAGAATATGATTGCACAGTCAAAGTGTTACTCAGGGGTCATGCCTATCACTTCTCTCCTTCGTTCATCAATGAGTATATGGGTCTTGATATCTCACACATGAGGAAGAAGAAGCTGATGAGGAGGTCGATTCAGCTTCTGTTGAAAAGTTGGCTCAATTCTTAGCGAATGAACCAAGAAGGAGTGGAATAGTCTAAATAACTTTGACGTTCTCCTCGCTATGGCTCTCTCATGATCCTTGATGCTTACAGATGGATTCCGGCTACACACAAAAGCCATACCTCTGTGTATAGATCAAAGTTTCTATAAAAAATGGATCATTGTGAATCCGGTTTGACATTGGGAGTTTGATGTTCAAGTAGATTATGAATCTTAGAATTCTTCAAATGAAGAAATCTCAATGGATGACATTTCCACATCTGATCACATGAAAACTTGACAGAGCGAAGTACCGTTTAGTAACCGATAATGCAACAATTTTGAGAATACCCGTTATTTTTAGCCTTCTTAAATCTGTTGAATTCTCAAAGAATGCCCAGAGGTAAGGATTCAAGAGTTTGTAACACCAAAGCTCTAAGTTTTATAAATCAATAATCAAAAGTTGTGTCTCCTACAAATCACGACATCACAATATATAGAGACATAAAGTCCTAAGGCCAAACATAAAAAGGAAACTAAACTTATCTAGAAAAAGGAAAGCAAAAACAGTTCAAAAAGGAAATGACAAAACCAAAGCTCAAAGGCCCCCTCCCGTACGAGAGATTTGTCCACGAATCCCAAAAACACGTTGTCATCCGGTTCGTACTTGAAGAGATGTTCAACATTAAACACATCAGCTGTATGAATATAAGAAGGAAGAAAAAGCCGATAAGTGTTGGCATTGATCTTCTCTACAATCTGAACTGGTCCAATCTTTCACGGTTTGAGTTTATTGTACTAGCCAGTCGGAAACCTTTCCTTGATCAAAACAGCCCAGACGTAATCCCCAACCTGAAAATGAACTTCACGACGTCGTTTGTCCACTTGACGTTTATATTTAATTTTAGTACCTGCCAAGTTGTCTTGAGCGCGGGTTTAACATCTGTGATCTCATCAACAAGCTCCAACGCTCTTCCATGAAACTCACCGGGTTGAGGAGGAGCAGATAACGCCAACGGTCCACGCAGAACCACACCGACCGTAGACCACTTTGAATGGACTGAAACCAAGGCTTCTATTTTGTGAATGGTAATGAGCAAACTCTGATTGGCAAAAAAGAGAGTCCCATTAGCGTAAATTATCTCCAAGAAGGCAGCACAACATATTTCCCAAACTGCATTAACAACTTCTGTTTGTCCATCCGTGTGAGGATGATAAGCCATATTTAAGCTCGTACGCAGCAGCTTCCATAGAGAACGCCAGAAGTGACCAATAAACCGTAAATCCCTGTTGGATACGATAGATGTTGGTAATCCATGC